ATGATTTGTGAAAGGTGTCGTTCTTTTGTATTTCTGATCGTACTTTACGCATTTATAAATAACATTTTTATTTTGACTTTAAAATTATATTGTCGATTTCACGATTAAAATTTATATCAAACTTAAAAGCATAAGTAAAGTAAAGATGGAAATTACAGGTTGTAATTCAATTTATACATTTGTAATCTTATATCACTTTAAACATTAATTTACGTTTTCAATCTAACTTCTACTTTTGTGTACTATTTTATATTTCAAAACTTACTTTTACTTTTAAAAATGATCTAACATTTGAAAACTTACTTCGATTTTTTTAAATGGATTTCCATTTGAGAATTCACTTTTTTAATGGATTGCTTCTGAAAATGATTTTGATTTTGTTCGCTCTTTGCTCCTTGATATTTAACCCTTTACCTTAACACCTGAGCGAGTCAATGACAAGTTGTCATTTAAATGACGCTGTAAAGTGTGTTGAAGAGGTGCGCGCCGGTATTTTACGTGTTTCAGAAAAGAAAATGTCGGGATTTGAGTGTCTAAATTCAGATAGGCCAATTTGACTTCTATTTCGAGGCGTAAATAAGCGTAAATAAATGTAAAGCTATTTTCAAAAATAAAAGTTAAATATAAAATGAAAATTTATTTTCAAATATAATTTTAAAACGTAAATCCAGTTTCAAAATTAAAGTATTCAGTTGTAAACTAATTTTCAAAGTGATGTGTGATTACAAATGTATAAATTACATTTCGATTTGCAATTTTTACTTGAGCTTTCAAGTTTGATTTCGATTTGTATCGTGAAATCGACAAAATAATTTTAAAATGCAAATTAAAATATACAAACTAATTGACACTTTTCAAAAAGCATGGCCATGACCCTCCTCGGTTGCCGTAATCCATTGAACAGTAGACATAATGACATTGAAGAATAACTAACTCCTCGAGGGACAAGAATAACTCTCATGGTTTCTCGCTGTCAACGAGATTTAGGCGGCCATTTGAGCGCGAGTTATCTTATGAAACGCTAACTTTGATCCTTAAATTTGTATTTCCCTCTTACTGATTTTGATTGATTAAGTAACAAAAGGCAGTACATAAAGTTACTCGGAACAAATGTAAATAGAAATAAATTGCAAACTGTCGAGTGACCTATGCGATATTTTTGATTGACTGGCTGATTAATTAAATGAATACAATGTTTTAAATCTAAGAGTGACATTTTGTGAAACAACACATGTTGAGTACTTTAATTGAATTCTACTTCTCGTTTCAAATAACAAATGTTATTAATTTGCAATTAGCTTAAGAATTCCATTCATTCGCTGTGTTGCATATATTGTAAGAGCAACTTACGTATGAAGGGCGTAGTCTCCGAGGTAGGTGGTAGATATTCACTTGCTACGGTCAGGAACGCAATTAGTGACAGCATACTAGTGACAAATATGGTCATTCTTTCGCCACATTCTGTCGGCAAGTAAAATCCTACGAAAATCACGATAAACATCAGCATGACTGGCATGAGTAGCGTATATATGTAAAACAGAGACCTTCGTCGCATGACCAACGTATACGTAATATCTGGGTATAGTTCTGGGCAGCATGTGTAATACACCATGTGCTTTATGATTGGCACTGTCCATCGGTCACTCAAAAAATATGCTCGATCAAGCAAAGTTTTTAATATGTACATGACAAATTTGATTTATTTCTGTATCAATAAAGAAATTTCAAAACCATCACATAAAAATTACGTACTATTTTACACTAAGATAATGATGATGTGGTTATTTGGCATTCGACCGTCAACTGCGAGTATAACAAATAATGTTCGCGAACGAGAAGTCTGGCACGCGGTGTGTCCGAAAATTGAATGCGCTGTGTCATACCCCGTCTATTTCATAGTTTAGCGGAATTTCGCGTTTATAGCGGAACACAAACGCGCACCCAATCGTGAAGTGGAAGCGCGCGCAATTCATCGATGACGGCGCTGTTAACTCTCAGGTACGCCGCTATTGATAACTTACGTCTTTCTCAATTCATCCAATACGTGTCAAATCGGTAAGAAAATTAAATATAGATATAATGGCACTGTATCTAATTTGTGTGCATATTTAATACGAATATTACTTTTTAAACCTTTCAAAGCGGAATCTATCACTGATCCAACACTTTTGTCTCACGCCCTTGGTAAAACACGATAGAATTTATTTATTTCGCTTAGCGAGAACCAAACAACTAAAACCTATAAGCATATGATTAAAATATTCGTATTTGTGTTAATCTGCTTGTTGCTTTGTCGATAATCTCCCAAGCGTGACGTCGTGATAACGCATGCGTAAGTTGTGATGGTCATTTATTTTGGAAACCAATCACTCAATGTCGCCGTGTTGAACAGACGCGTGTTGAAATAACGCAACTGATGGCTACGCTCTACGTGATTGTTGTTGTCTTACTTTTAAATTCTGGGCTTATTGGTAGGTATTTTTTGTTTTTTGTGTGATTTGGCTTGAATTTTATAATATATGTTAGGTTTAAAAACGACTTCATATAATAAGAGTGTAATTGTATCCAACGATCGAAGAAATGCGGTGATCACGTCGGAAAATAACGGATTCTGCTATTGTTGTTTGTTAATGTATTCTGAAATATGTTTCAATATCTACCAACAATAATTGTAGCTGTCAGGAACATACAATATCCGCTCACTAAATTAAAATAATGTTCTTCCAAGGAGGGAATTTAATTGCAATGTACAATAATAATATTTTTAAATTCCATAATTATTCTTCCAATTCACAATATTTGTGAATTATATTTTGGATACCGCGACGTATATGGCCACGTGTTTAACCCGGGTGTTATGTTATCAATGTAGCATGTACACTGCAATCTAATTTTATCCAGAACTCGTATTTATTCTGTATATGTGTGTAATAGCGTTTTCCTCGGTACAAGTGCAGAAATATTGGCACCTTTTAATCATGTTAAAGATAGTGTTTTGTAGGAGTGGTGAGCGTGTCTGTTTCCAGAGGCAAGACGTCGAACCGTATGTCATACTTGTATTGCATCGCCTTGTGCGTTAAAGCTACATATTTCTTTCATTATGTCAAATTCACATTTCGACTCCCATATCTGTCAAAAGGAGTTTATTTTCTGAGTATTTAAATTTGTTGAATGTAATTATAGCTAAACATGCAAATCTCTTTCGGGTGTGTATAATGGGAATGTTACAACATTCATACTGGTACATGTGCTATGCGCTGAACTTGTGTGTGTTTTCAACCGTTGGTACATCGTGATAATAGTCACACTGGTAGTAAAAAAACGAAAACTTGAATGGATCAACTGAATAATGAAAATACTATGATGTACTGCAAAATTACGAGTTGAATAATCATTATCATGGAACCATTAGTACAAAACAATGTACCAATTCCATTTTCAATGCGAACAACTGCCCACGCTTTCACAATTGCTGAAAGCTGTTACTTACATTTATTCGACAAGGAAATTACATTTATAAAATTAATCCTGTAAAGGGAGCTCTGTCAAGTCACATATCGGAAAATCGCGAGTAAAATCCGATTCGCAGTGCCGAAGTAATTTTTCTATACAAACTACAAACCGCAAATGGAGCTGGATTATTGTTGGGGTGTTTTTGCTATATATTTTATTTCACAGTATTAGTAAAAATTAAGTCGAATATAAACATAAAACGACATAGCGAGAAACGAACCTTATTACAAAATCGCAGTAGTATTTGAATCAACGTAGATAGGAACCTCAGTAAATGCCCGGACTACTTTCGCGCGTACTTAAAAACATGATACTGATTGGCAGAGTTGATAATTTATTACGCATTCTGTATTTTGCAGCATCCAGTTCAGATGTGGACATTCAGGCGATTCTTGTAAATGACCTATTAAACAACTATTCAAAAATCACACGACCTGTATTCAACACTTCTATGGCAACGGTTGTAACACATCAACTTATTCCGATCCAGATTCTTAATGTTGTAAGTATACATCTTTCCTACAATGGACCATGTACACAAACAGCCGTCGAGATCTCGTTGAGGACGAGAGTCGCGTGACATTATTTTTGCTTTGATAACAGTGGAAGCGACGACGGGGGGGGAATAAAACACCGCTTTTTGTTGCTCTCTCGCTCTCAACAAATACTCAATACACAGAAAGCACAATAGTCAACGAAAAAACAATATACAATTTACACAATTTGTGCACAAGTATAACTAGTGAATCACACACCTACATTTTAACTGCGTAAATGATGAATTTCTTTGCATCGATATATAAATACACGAACAACGAAGAATTGGTCTATATATGGCCTCCAGACCTAAAATGTCAATAAAAGACAAATTAACAGTATTGAGTTGTTCATGTTCGTGTTGTTCATGTTCGTGTTGTTCATGTTCGTGTTGTTCATGTTTGCTGCCACTCTCCAACTACATTGAGTAGGTGAAAATTCCGTCACCACCTTACCAACTCAACATAGCTTTTAACATCATCTGTGCCACTAGTAATAATCAATCCGGATAGATATAGCAGTACCCGCTTGAAGGCCTGAATACAATACTCATACTGCGACGTCTATATGTGTACGCTCTTGCCATGTTTACTAAAAACTCACACATATTTGCATAACAAGACACACGCCACATTCATCACACACTCAACTCCACATTCTTATTATCACTTATCTGCAATTACTCACATCACAGATTATACATTTATATTATGTTATATTTACATGCTAGAAAACTTGTCGAATCCCCTCAACAACAATGCTTACTTTCCGTCGATATTAGATGCTGGTCCCTGACCAATGTTTTTGATACCCACCGCTCCGAGCACACGCGATGAATTTGTCGTGTTACGATGTATAACGCGATCATGTATACATTATACTGTTTTTAGTATATGCCTCGGATTATATTGAAATTAAATATCATTAATATGCCTATTGCTACGTTTTAGGATGAACGCAATCAGGTGATAACAGTAAAGGTATGGGTTGAACTGGTAAGTTTCTCTATTTGTAAATTTGTCCGACGATACTATAAATACTGGCACGTACACTATGTAATAATCTAGTAACTGGGGATTTCATTTGAAATGAAATTGTAATGTATTGAAATGTATTCGCTGGGTTATATTATTCATGTCGATTATGTTTACCGATTATGCTTTTGTAATTTGAATATTATTAGTGTATTTATTTTCTGATAAATATCTATGCCCTCAATGTCAAAGCTCAATGTAGAAAGGATTCATGTATATGCATATATATATATTAACCAAAGTCATAGTATCAATATTATCAGAATAGTATAAAGAAATTAATAGTAAAGTAGTTTATCATAATTATTAATAATTATTCAATATAACAAGACTTTTACGGTGATGAACATAAATCAAGATAGTACAGTAAAATAGCAGAACTCACGTAACGATATTATATTGAATAAATTATCATTTTTTATATATACTATTTATTTGTCCTTAAAGTTGTCATTGTTTCCTCTGAAAATAATAGTAAATGCATAATGGGATGAATATATTAATACCATTGCAATGATAGCATATTCCTTACATAAAAGTGCAACAGAGTTTTGTATAACACATACATAACTAGTGGCAGCATTTCCAGTACTGTGGTAATTGGAGTTTTAGATTATTGAACATGTGAGCGATATTTCATTTTCAGAGTTGGAATGATGAATTATTGCGCTGGAATGCATCGGACTATGGAGAACTTGACAGTGTTCACATACCCATTTCGAAATTATGGCAACCGGATATAACCTTATACGAAAGGTATTGATATGTTTTACACCTAGACTGTCGACAGTCGGTCGTACCTAATACTAATCTGTTATTATTAAAAAATATTGTGTATAAATGTAATAGGCGTGAATAAATTGCGAACGCCGGGACAGGAAATTATGGAGTGCCGACTGTCCGGTGCTGCAATTCACTGGTAACATTTCTTACCAGATCCGGGTACTTTCATATGCAAATGAATAGTCGCGTAGATGTCCATCATTTTATCGTGGTCAATCGTGAAAAAGGTCAGGGGTCGCTGGCTACTAGGATTACCCACGACTTACGCGAAGTTTGTCTTGACTGTACTATACGCGATCGCGACACTTTCTACAGCAGTTTTTGATATCATGACACAAACAAATCTTGACGAATGCATTGTAAAAGTACTGGAACGTTTAGACTACCATGATATTTCTTCGAGACACTATCGCAAACTACACAGAGGGGAGTGATGTGTTCGTCAGCGTGCCGTGTTAACAAAAACAAAACTCGTCAAAAGAACTCGTTTTGAAACCAAAGATCCCCCACACTTTCAGTTGCCATTTCCTTAGATGAAAATGCCTGCGACCTTTCCAATAACTCTCGCTTAGTTTGTTGAAATTTCTTCCTGAGTCGTAATCATTGTGTTCATAACGTGGACAACCAACGCATTCGGGGGGTCATTTAGAATACATTTGCATACATTATGTTAATATAATTTATTTCGTGACGTCAGCATCAACTATTATTCATATCAACTAGAAACTGCAGACGGGGACATTGTTTCGCATTTCCCACCAAACATTCACGTCGTTCGAATGTCTAGGAAACACAATTACATTAGGCCCGAGGACTGTCGACAGTCTATTTGGCACCCTAATATATTGTATCACATATGCTTGACGTGCAAAGCTGTTACTCGCGTTTTATGTTTCAATACTCCAGACAAAATAATAATCGTTTATCTTTTTATTTTCGTAGCGTTGCCAGCGAATTCGAACGACACTTCTCCACAGATGTACAGGTGCAATCGGACGGAACTGTGTCCGCACCTCAGCCGATGGTTTACCACGCATCCTGTCCAATAGACGCCACATATTTTCCGTTTGATCAGCAGGAGTGCGACTTAAAATTTGGATCATGGAGTTACGATGGTTCATTAATAGACCTAGAAATTGACCCTACATCCGGGTCGTTGAGTAATTACATACCGAATGGTGAATGGAATCTCTTGACAGTGCCAATTATAAAGCACGCGGTGTACTACACGTGCTGCCCAGAACCTTACCCTGATATTACGTACACGTTGGTCATGCGACGAAGGTCTCTGTTTTACATATATACGCTACTCGTGCCAGTCATGCTGATGTTTATCGTGATTTTCGTAGGATTTTACTTGCCGACAGAATGTGGCGAAAGAATGACCATATTTGTCACCAGTATGCTGTCACTAATTGTGTTCCTGACCGTAGCAAGTGAATATCTACCACCTACCTCGGAGACTACGCCCTTCATACGTAAGTTGCTCTTACAATATATGGAACACAGCGAATGAATGGAATTCTTAAGGTGATTTCAAATTAATAACACGTGTTATTTGAATTGAGAAGTAGAATTCAATGTTTTAGCTCATGTGTTTTTCACAAAATGTCACTCGTAGTATTAAGACATTTCAATCATTCAATCAATCAATCAGCCAGTCAATCAAAAATATCGTATAGACAGTTTCCAATTTGTTCCGGGTAACATTATGTAAGAGACAAAGTTAACATTTCATAAGATAACCCGCGCGCAAATGGCCGCCTAAATCTCGTTGACAGCGAGAAACCTTGAGATCTGTTTTCTTCAATGTCATTATGTCTATTGTTTCCCACACCAAACCATACTGTAATTGTTGTTCCATCTATAGGGCCACTCTTACTCCTCATATATATTTTTCCCCACAGAAAAATACGTGATATCAACGATTGGACTTGTCGCATTATCCTCAGTTCTTACGGGATTTACAGTCAATTTACATTACCAATCACACGACTGTGCACCGGTACCTAGGCGACTGAGAACCATTGTGTTCAAGTACTTGGCGGTTGTAGTTTTTATGCGACGAAAAACAAGATTTTTCTTGGAAAAGGCAGACAACATAGCAAACATAAAAAGCAAAGAATTAAACAACGCATTAAACGATGAAAATACAGCAGAAATCGATAAAGTTCAGACCAGCGAGTGTTCTAATAACACCATATATAACAATGATAACATCCGGGAATGGCAGATGTTGGCAAGTGTTTTTGACCGACTATTTCTCCTATGCTATATAGTGGCGTTTACCTTTCTGACTGGAGGTATATTTATATACCTGGGAAATAGAAATAATAAGGTTGTCTACCACTAATTAATTATAAAAGCCTTTAAAGTCAATTTTGGAATACCGATCACGCTATAAAACAATACATTGTTTTAATTTAGTAATCTCGTCAATTATAGTAGAATAATCGTGAGCTCATGTGATCACCTTCACTTGGGCATTTCTGTCCCGTCGTAGTGAAGTATATTGTTTTGTTATTAGTATAAATTAAGCATATTGTGAATGTGATGTAGTAACTTCAATTATATCATGAGATTTGATATCTATAATGACATAAATAAACAAATAAAATATCCTGATGAACACAAATAATAACGAACTCTTTTGTTTTCACTGTCTTAATATACGTTTGGTGTTTACGGAAGTATATTTATTGAATTGATTATTTATTATCCATTCAAAATAGCTTCCGAAGTAGTGAACAAGATATGATGACAATTATAGGTGATATGTGCCTGCACCGAGCCAGTGTCCAAGCTAGGAAAATGGCTGCGTCATTTATTCGTAATTCGCCAATGGCACAATGTTCATTCTATATTAACACCTGGGCAAAGTCAATAACACTTTTAAGCTTAGAATGCGTGGTTATATATCATAAATAAATTTCACATTATACATAATAATAACTTAACATTATCAAATGTATACTGAAAGGAATAACAACTATATGACCTTATGTGGGACACTTGATACATCTATATCTTTTTTATAAAAATCATTTCAGTAAGTTAAATTAAATAAATAAATACATCCATGTACTGTTCGCTATGATTCTCGTATTTATAGCGCAGGGATGTCTTCAAGGTAAGAAAATAGAGAAACACTATTTCACCATATTTCCATAAACAGCATAACAGTTAACATAAGCAAGCGAAACAATTTGATTTTTTTTAAAAAGTCATACTCTGGAATAATTTAATGCTCTTTTACTATTTTTTTCTATATTCTATTTTGAATTCTTCGTGTATATTATATACTTAAATTGATTGATTTGAGTTATGAGCTTGTTTACTATAGTTTTGAAGAATGATTTTAATAAAAAATATCTGATAAAAATGTTAAAAGTTAATATTTCTGCGATTTGTATGTACTGCCCTCAACGTTCAGATATAGTTAGTGCGATATGTTTTTAGAAAGTGCACAGATTTTTTTTTAAATTATTTTGTTTGTCTCATACGTCATCAGTGGAAAAAATACAAGGCAAATAAAAAAATACATTTCACAATTTTCCCTTTCTTTTATAATCCATGATATGGGTACTTAACACCTTTCTGCATTGCGGAGATTTTAATTATTGCCTGAAATGCAAACTGTAGTGGTAGCGCCCTCACAGTTTCATTTGTGTGAGATAGTAACGCCTTGAGAAAGAACTGCATGTGAGGATATATAAAATCAGTCGTGCAAAAATAAAACAAACTTTATATTTCCTCATTTTTGTTAATTTACCTCAATAGTGTGTATAATCATGATGTTGTTAGTAAAATAAGTATTTTTTATGATGGGTTAATAGTTACCTAAACTTAATTAGTGGGAGGGCAAAATCACAGTCAATGATATGTGAAAATAGTATTGTCGGACTGCATACACGTTGTAAAGAAATGTTATGTTACTAGTTTCTCCCACTGAAAGTAATGTGTTTGTGTTTGAAAGAATCAAATCACGTTTTCTGTCATCATGTCATTACTATTACTTCTGAATGATAGTTTTTCTCAGTAAACACCAGGAATATGAATACATCGCCAAGACACTGAGATGATTATTTATATTAGTGAGGTAAAAAAAAGGAACTTTATAACAGAAAAAAAAAATAGATATACAAATATAATTCAATAAACAATAATGTAGAAAGAAATATTATCCGGTTATTGCTTGATGATTCAGATTATGTATATATTTTCCGAAATTGGTCTTAACAGCAAGACAGGAAAATTGACTGATTAATTCGAATATGGATGGAATGAATTACATCTCACCAATCACATATTTTGCTAAATTGTGCGTACAAATGTTTATTGAAATTACCATAAAGTACATTAGTTATATATCAAAATCCAATACTAATTGCAGTATATATTTTCGAAGACATTACATTGTTATTCTCATGTAATCTTCGTTAGTGGGAATAATAATATTCTCACTAATAATCATTGAGAAGCACTTCCTGTTTAATATTTTACACGATTCGATCAATATACCTCTCATATGAATTGCGCTCCTAGTGACTTCTCAGACGTGAATAAGTTACAAAAAAAAAACGTTTTAATTGTTGATATCGTTTCGGTCTGTAGTCGTCAATGAAGATTATTTTTTTTCGAAATTTCACCAAATACTAGACCAGTAGTCGATTTGAACAACATTGATTTACCCATATACGTCATATTGACGTCACAGTAACATTACATAACTAGAAGGCGCGATTGATAGGAAAGAACTTGATGTGAACTGCGATGTTGAATCTAATTGGTGCACGCAATAAACAATTATTAATTATGAACCTGATGTGACAATCCACGTCATGGAGGGCGGAATTTATTATACGTTGCTGACCTTTGAAATGAGTTCAGCTATCATCTACTGCACATCTTCGCGAGCCACTATGCGATGCAGTGGCGGCGGCACCGTGGGGCAGTGGGGGTGGTTGCCCCCACGATAAAATAAGGTGAAATACTCATCTATATTTGTGAAATATACCTAAGTGTACCATCAAAATTGGCTCAAGATTTGCTCAAAAATGTGGTCTAGATCATGGGCGGATTTAGAGGGGGCCGTACCCCCCAAGAAAGTTCGCGCCTTCGGCGTTCGATTTGTTGACATTCACATAAAATCTTCGCCCCCAGTCAAAAAAAGCTGCTGCCGCCTCTACGATGTAACTGTTATATTGACAGCAATAGAGACAGCAATTTAGCGTTGAGACCATTTTATGATTCGAATTTTTTGCTGCAATAAGCCACGAGAGCTTTAAAAACGCTGGAATAAAATCCAACCACGTGTATACAGGAGTCGTGAATAAAATGGTTGCTTTTATTCTCGAAATATTTTATGACTGTTAACTGTTTTGCGACGTTCGTTTGTAATGTGTGTCTAAGTGGAGATCACGATTAGTTTGCACGAAAAAGTGATTCAATTGAAGTGGCATATGTCAGGCAATGTACAAAGACTTTTCACCATCTTGTCCACAGGGTAACGGTTTTGGTTGCTATGCTAGGTTTTACTGAATGTTTCTGCTATATTCAATACATTTAACCATCAATGTCTTAACACTGCATTACATCCACAAATTGGTGCATGAAGCATAATACTTCCTAGTCTTTGGATCAACTCAAATTCCATCTTTGAGCATCGAAGAAAAGTAACACATCTTGGCATATTATTTTACACTTACGTGAACACGGGAAATACAGTCTGTATAATATTTTATTACTATTATTAATATATTTTTACTAAGACAAAGAGGTTATATCATTTATAGCCTGCACTGGCTTTTCATAAAGTGTATTTCAAAAAACTCCCAATTACTTATCACACGGCATAGCTCATACTCGGATCCTACGCAACAAATTACATTATTGCTCGAATTTGTTGCACCGATCAACAAATCTTAGAATATACATTCTTTTGCTATTTTTAAATAATATTTTTTACTTTGTTCTGGAAAGGCGTCACAGAGCATTTTTTTCTTGATTTGTGGCGCTGTAGAAATGCCTATGTCCAAGACAGCAGCTGAATCATGGACACATATTGTTTGACACATACGTTCAATACTAACTGACATTTTTTGAAACATTTAGTTAATTAGATTATACAAGGTCACAGATAAAGATGATGTTGAGGTGGGTCGCAATGAATATACATTGTCAATAATAATAGACCACTTGCGTATTTGCATCACGTGGAATTTTTTCCGCCATTTTGTCGTTCTTGTTCAATCTTAATTTTTTTTGCGGGCTGAGGGGGCGCGCGCATGAAGCGCCTCCCCCCTAAATCCGCGAGTGATTACCGCGAACTTCGGGAAAATTGCATTAATTTTGTACAAAGTTAGGTTAACATGAGTCGCAGGCGGTTCACGTCATACATGAATCTCGGAGAAGCTTGCAGCGTCACTGACGTAATTGAACAACACATCTTGAACTCCGCGTTTCGGTGCTTGTGTGCAATTCGCGAGACCCATCAGCAGAACCAGTAAATATAAATGTTACCATCTGTAATTTGTAGCTGACCGTGAGCACGTGAAAACATCAAATAAGACATGCCAAAACATCGGGTTGACCTTCGACATCCTAACAACCTTTGACCTACTAACAACCTTTGATCTTTTCGTAGCTGCCAATACGGTTAACAATAATGTAATATACTAGTAATTGCATCAACATAATTGAAGCCGCGCGTGATTACTTAATGTTGCGTCATTTGCTTTAATGTGTGAATATAAGCCATTATTATACATCTGTCACTGTAACGCCATGAGTTACAGCGTGACGTAATTTTGCAGTATTTTACGGGATATTTTCATCCTACCATATAAAGGAATGCGAATTCCAAATATGGAATGATTACGCGCGTATGCGTCCTTTAATAATAAAAACAAACATGGCTGCGACCACACAAACTTTACACAAAGAAGTTCGCTGATTCTGTTCTAGTTTTTGGATTTCGGCATCATCATGATGTATCCTTGAAAGAAAAAGCTGTATAATAATAAGGTCATTACAATGATACCTCAAAGTATGCTCTCAGACAGTACGCCGTCGAATCCTCCGCTGCGAATCGGTCCATACTGCCGATGTACTGTCTTCGTGTATACTTTAAGGTATCCTCGTAATAACCTCATTATATAGTCAAAGGTCAAAAGTGCGATTATTTTGAAGCTTTAAATACAACTCGGTAAATAAACGTTAAAAGTTGCATAGTTACCC